AGAAGGGAGACAAGACCGGAGACAAAGGGAGACAAGAAGGGAGACAAGGCGGACACAGTGACCAACAAGAAGGGAGACAAAAGGAAACAGAAGGGAGACAAGGCGGACACAGTGACCAATAACAAGGGGGACACGGTGACCAACAAGAACAGACCAAGGGACACAAGCCAGACGGAAGGCGGACACGCAGTCCGGCAGCAAGGCGGACACTCTTAGAAAGCATTTAAAACCCCAAATCACCTGGGAGACAAATGAATAGAAATGCTGGAAAGGGCAAAAGGGCGGACGCCAGCAGCGCAGGCACCGAACCTGGAAAACCAAAGTAAACAAACCACATGGGAAACAAATGAATCAGAAATGCTGCATGGCCAGCGGAAAAGGGCGGACACCAGCAGCGCAGGCACCGAAACTGGGAGACAAAAGTAAAGAAATCAATGCTGCATGGCCAGCGGAAATGGGCGGACACCAGCAGTGACAGAAAGGACGGACACATCTTAAGAAAGAATTGAGATACCCTACGTAACGGCAAACTGTTTGGGGAATGAATAGAAATGTTGCATCGCCAGCTGAAAAGGGCGGACACCAGCAGTGACACACCTCGGAGACAAATGAACAGAAATGCTACATGGCCAGCGGAAAAGGGCGGACACCAGCAGCGACACAAATGGCGGACACATCTTAAGAAAGAATTGAGAACCCCTAACAGTAAACTGTTTGGGGAAAAACAAATGTCAGTCCGTCCCACTGGGTCTGTAGGGATCATTGATCACGAAAAAGCTTACAGGGAAGCAACGAGGCTCAAGACCATCATGGCTGTAGGTGGATATAGTCTATAGTACAATGAAACATGAGGTCAGGCCACAACGGAGCCTGGATTGTCAAGCGAGAACGTCTTTGGCAACTGCTGCCTTAGGAGACTGCAAGCGCAAGGACTAGTTTGCCGTCACACAAGTTTAGTACATTGGCGCGTTTGCTTGAGTGAACTTGTGGGGCAACAAATTACAACCAAAGACCGTTGCAGTGCATTTTGCCCTGCTGCGAAGACACACGGCTTGCAACTCTTTGTCTCCGCCGCCACGCTTTGTCATGGCTCCAAGTAAAATGAAAAGAACAAGTGCTCACCGTACTTCCAAACCTGCTTCACAAGACTCGTTGATCGCGAATGTTCCCGAGGGTGGTCAGTGTTCCCGTGAACATGTCTCACTTTGCTTCAAATCTGCGCTTTGCTGGTCTGTTGTGAAGCACAATTGGTTTCGCTCCATATGTTTCATATGCTTCGGCCCCTTGCGCTCACATGTCATGAAGGTCATGAAGTTTCCAAGAGCTCAAAGGCCATCGACATTATAATCATGTATAAACCAGTATATAATGGTTGAACTGCGAGCAAAGTGTCACGCCTGTCGCACTTTAGGTAGCGTTGGTGCTGAACGTACCTGTAGAGGAAACCAACTCCAAGCACATCTCACTTCTCTCTTTTAGCTGCTCTAGAATCTCTGCAACAGGTTTGCCACTTTGCTGTGTGAGCTCTCAACGAAACAGCGTAGTGGGCACCTTGTTGAGTGGCGATGGCTGCAGTACGCTCGACCGTGCATGCTGAAGCACGCTCGATCGTGCGTGCTGAAGCACACTTGACCGCGCATTGGGTGAAGCGATGCCATATGGAAGGCCCATGCCATCACCTCCAGCAAATGGAAGGTCTTAGAAAAAAGAACGTATGTGAATCGAATCGAATGGAATTGAAGGGCGTTGAATTGACTTGAACTGACGTGATTTGAATTGAATGAGTTGAATTGAATTGAGTGAGTTGAGTTGAATGAAGTTGAATTGAATTGAAATGAATGCATGTATGACTGAACACACCTTTTCTCCCTCAAAGCTTAAATTATTCAAATGGACGGCCAATATTTCAGCTACTGCGCCAGTAGTTTTAAGTTTATCTCAACCGAAAAGTACAGCTCACCGACCCTACACCCTACACACATTGAACGAGTTTAGTCTCGAGGAGAAGAACCCGAAAGCAAAGCGCTGCTCCTTGTTAAGCTTGATGAATATCATGTCAATGTCCCCGTGACTACAAAGCCTGTGACATCCTAAGAAGCCAGCCCCGAGAAGCATAAGACTATATACGACATTGTTGGCAAGCTTAGCAACAAGATTCAACTGATGAACACGCAAAATCTCGCATGGACAGGACAGTTTACTACTAAGACCCTGTCCAACAAGAATCCCATGACCTCCAAAGTCCCGGCCTGGCGTCTCTTTGGACTCCAAGATCTGTGCAGGTCGACCTGTCCGCAGCAGCCTGGCCAAGCGTTCCGCCGTTCTACCACCGAGAATTCCACCGTTGGGGTGAAAAATAACGATGCCAAACAGTCGCCAGATGCACTGTTCCACCTCCTGAAAGGCCTGAAAGGGGATCTTGGAGTTCAGAGGTCAGACGGTGACCCCAAGGAGGCAACAAGTGCTGGTTGATTACTGGTTGATGAAACAAACTGACGGCGCGCGCTCAACAGCAAAACAGCAAAACGTTTGCGTCGTTCAGGCATGTTCAATCATTTTCAGGCTATCTTGGGACCTGCTTAGTAATTGCATGTTCTTTCAATGGCTCTCATCAAGAGCCCCGAATGCTTCAGGCAGTGGAAGGTAACCATGACAAAACCCAGCCAGAAAGGGTTTCTGCGGGAACGCTCAAGTTGTTCTGGGCAGGGGCAACATAATGGAATACGGCGCAGCCACCGAGCAGGGGAAAAAGGCCCGGGCAAGGCAGAGAAGAAACGGTCCACGGCGTGGCCCAGCAGCACACACAGACCCGGACGAATCCTGGACACGCGGTGGACAAGACGGGGCTTGGCGGGTGGTTCAACTGCTCCACGCTTTGAGATTTCCAACAAAGCAGGCTCTTTTCACTTGAGAAGCCGCGGCCTTGTACAGGCACTTGTGAGTTGCACTCTTCTTCTTTCCACAGTGCTACACTCCTCCTTTGTTTGAAGCGTTCTGTAGCTCCAAACAACTTCCACACACTCTCAGTGCTTTGTGAAGTTCGTGATCACTTGCACTGATTGCTTCTCTGCCAGGTTCGTGTTCCCCAGCAGTGATTGCTCTCAGCATTGAGTGCGCCTCAGCGCCTTCTTCGCGGTCCAGCTGCTTCTGCTTGTTCGACTTGCTGCCGCAAAGCTTCTCTCTCTGCCCCTGCTCTCCTTTCTCTCACGAAGTCCATCCATTCTCTGGTTCCCAGGGCCCATCCATAGTCTCTTGAAGATTCAGGGGTCTCTTCTTCAGGCTCAGGCTCATAGCAAAGCCTTCGAATCAGCCATTTGTCACCATCTCTCACCCAATTGGGATTCTCGATGAAGTACTCCTCGCCATCTTGGGGTGCGTCGATCTCTGGGTCGAGGAGTCGGCGCATCTGGATTTCACCTGTTTCCGGGTTCACCCAGAACACGATGCCAGGCATGTTGTACTCTGACTCTATGTAGCACTCTGGGTGTTCTCCCAGCTCTTCTCTCAAACCAGCATGCCTTCGAAGTTCTGGAACTGCGTCCGTCACTTCGTCGCCAGGTTCGCGTTCTACACGTTGAACTTGTCAAGGCGAATCACCTTCAAGTTCTTCAGCAGGTTGGTCTGCTGCAGATTCTTCTTCCTCTTCTGAACTTTCTTCACTCAAGCGTCCAAGTCCTGGCATTCTAGACGTCCATCCACGTCCAGGAAGTACTCTTCGCCAGGGATTGAAAGCTTGCGCTCGGTGTTGAAGAACTCTGTAGGTCGCCATCTCTTGGCCAATAGGGTCCCAATCTTCCACTGTTGCGATGACATCACCATCATCCTGGCGTCCTCTGTGATTTCATCTTCCGTGGGTTCCCCGCCAGAGGTGTAGGCTGTCTCCGTGAGGTTCTCGAGTTGTGGTTCTTCTTCTTGTTCTTGTTCTTCACCTTCTTCTTCTCCTTCAAGTAGTAGGTGGTTGACGTTTCCACCATCAGGTTCATTCCATAGTTCTCCATCTCGATCACTTCCACGAGCTTCCGGATCATGTCCGGCCGGTTCTCCGAAGATGTTGAACCTGGTGTTCTTGACCTTTCTTTGTTCACCATCTCGATGAGGGTCTTGCGGTGGTGAGTTGCGTCGTTGAAATTCTCCTCCACCTTCAACAGGTCGTAGATTGAAGTAGTCCCTGAGAACAGGATGAAAACGAAGCTCCAACTCGTGGTCCACCAGCATACTCCAAGTAGCCAATGAGGCCCAGCAAGAATCTCAGTCTCTTGCTGCTGTGAATCTTTGTTCCCAAGTCACTGCCGTTCTCTTTTCCCGGCGCTGGTCGAATTGCTGCTTCTCGCTCTTCAACTTTCTGTTGCGCCCAAAGAAGTCCAGCGCTTATGCGCCGGGTTCTCTGTACTCCTTGTCGTTGGAGTAGTGCTCGAGCAGAGGAACTGTCAATCCTCAGCTCCAAGGTCCAAGACCACCTTCATGTTCAGCACGGCCTCCAACATCCTCTTGATGTAGATCCCATCTGCCATGCCGCTGACTGCGGAAATGAACTCAGCTTCACAGCTTGACGAAGGGCTTCTGCTTGCACTCCAAAAGAAGATGCCGTTGAGGTACATGTGACTGCGTGACATAGATCTCCTCGTAGTCCTACCCGAAGCCCAGTCACTGTCTGCGAAAACTTCGAGCAGGCTCGGATGTTGCGTTGCAGCCATCTTCACGTCGTCGCTCCTTTCTCCCATAGCTGAAGCCATTGCAAAACTCTGCTTCATCTCCTGGACATAGTCAGCCGTGTGCTTCAGGTAGAGCACCAGCTGCTTCAACTCCTTCTGGTCCAGGGTGTCAGGTTTGAAGCCAATTGTCGAACTGCGCATTGGATATCTGGCCTTTCTGTTGACGTGTAAAGCAAAATGCCAACACATGTTCTGTAGAGGCTCGACTCTTCTCTTGAAAGGGGTTGTCCTTGTAGCCCTTTCTGGAAGGTTCCAGTTGTAGGCGTCAGCGTGCCCTTGTTCACGCGCAGGTCCAACAAGTCCACCAACTTCTTCACATACTTCTGGTCCATTCGAACTGTCATGGCACCAGACCCATCAGAAGCAAAATGCCTCTTGAGGAATGCGCACTGCCCTGCAACCTTGGGTGAGCAGGGTCCTTGTACTTGAAGTGTCCATTCCTGCTTTCTGAAGTTATCAAGGGGCTTCTCAACATCTTGTTGACTTCCAACCAGCTGTAGGTCGTCAACACGTGAAGACAACCTTGTAGAAGACTGCGGGGTTTGCAGGGTATGGTTGTAGTCCTTGGTCTCGTGCCAATTTGCCCAAGTGGTCATACCATGCCTTGGATCCAACTCGTTGTCCAGGAAGGCGTCGTCCAAGTTCAAAGAACTCTCCACTGCACTCCACATAGACCTTCTCCTCCTGGGGAACCATGAGGTAGGCTTCCTTGACATCGACTGCCCATAGTCCAAGTTCTCCTTGGCTCGACATCCCAGGCGGAAGAAACTTGGAATCTCTGCCCACCAGTCTTGACCGTCTCATCCAGCCAAACTTGCCAGTCTCTTCCTTGAGGCGCCCTGTAGCCCTCAAAGTTGCCATTCTTTGGAATGAAGACTCCCATCTCCTTGAGGCGTGAAATCTCTCGCTCGTCTGCCTCCAACTCCAACTGCGCCAGCATCTCGTCCGAGACATCTGGAGGTCCTGCTTTTTCAGACTCTTGCTTCAACCACTTCATTGAACTCGCCCCAGTCATTGAGGTCCATCAAAGGGCGCTCGTCCACCTCGACGAACTCTTGCTCATCCAAAACCACTTCTTGAATGCCGCCAGCAAATGAAGGTGCTGCTGCTAGGCTGCTTCCCGTTGGTGAAGACGATGGGGATGCTCTGGGAGGAACTGAAAAAGTCCACCTTTGCTTTCTTGACCGGCTCTGTTCGCGCGCTCTTCGAGGGAGGTTCTTCTCCAGGAAGTTCACCATGAGGTCGAAGTTCTCCTTGAGGGTGTTGAGGTCCAACTTGTTGTTGAGGAACTTGAGGGTGTAGTCCACCATGAGGTTCACCAAGGACTCCTCCTGGATGTAGTGCGTCTGGTTCTGCATCCTTGATGACCAAATCATCTGGAGGTTCTGTCGGAGTGTACGGGACATTCTCCGGGGTGTAGGGAACTGGTTGTCCTTGTTCACCGTCAGCAGGCTTCTTATTCTCGGTCTCCTTCTGCTGCTTGTCCTTCAAGTCCTTGTCGTCAAGGTACTCCTCATCACTGCCCCCCCAGCTCTCCGAAGGGTTTCGCCAAAGCTTCTTCTGCTCGACGTCGCGCGTACTCTCCCACAGCCTTGGCCTCATCATCTTGTAGTCCAGGAAAGGTCTGGCTTTCCAGGCTTCTCTTCTTGTCGACCTTGGTCGCGGGACCAAACTTTCGTGCGCTTGCATCATCCCATGGCAATCCATGACAAGCCATGAGGAACTCTGGTTGCCATTCATCTGCACATCGTCGGACTGCTCTCGTCACAAACAATCCGTTAGGCCGTTAGGCGACAAAAGAAAGTTGAAACTTGCCCGCATAGATTCCCTTCCGCCGTGTTGGAACTCCTCGTCGGGTGTTCTTCGTGGTTGTCCATAAGCACATGCTCCAAAAGGTGCCAGCTTCCCTGAGTAGGTGCGGGAAGTCACAACTTCAAATGGTGTATTGCCACCAGGTGTCACATGGAACCTGTTGTACAACCAGGATGCATGGGCGTAGCACCACACAAACAGTGGGCGCGAAGCGGGAATCTCAATCCCACATCCAACACGGATGCTCTCCAGCAAAGTGTCGCCCAACCTTCTCACCGTCTGAATTGCTCGCTCTGCAGGGTTGGATGCTGATCTGCCTTGAGGCGAAAACTCTTGAGTTGTCTGAAGCTTCAACAGCTTGGGCCCTCTTGCCCAAGCTGCCCATGTTCATGGGCACCACACTCACATCTGCACCCAAGTCGAGTACAGCGTTGTAGTTCAGGTCCACCTCAGAGATGGCCTGGATCTCAAAGGTCTCAACCTTGGAGGTCTTGAGGGTGATGAAGTCCACGTTCTCGAAGAGGTCGTTGTAGTCCATCTTGTAGTCGAAGAGGTCGATCTCCTGGGTGAAGTTATCCTCCATGGTCCAGCGGTCGTCCATGTCAGTCTTGGTGAGGTCAAAGTGCTCAACCATGTCCTCCTCAGTGACCATCATCTCAAAGCCTTCAGTGAAGCTCTTCTCAATGTCAATCTCGCCTTCCTCGGCGAGGTCGAAGATCTCGCAGGTCTCCAACATGGGAGGTGTCTTGATCTCCCAAACTCTTCTCACCGTGCCAGTATAGGAAGTGTTGCTGCTTTGCGCTGTATTTGCCGAAGACGATGAAGTCCCCGTGGAAGGTCCAGAAGGTTGCCCTCCACCATTTCCTCCATGATCTCCTGAATCATGGCCTTCAACTTCAACTTGCTGAACTTGTTGTCCACGTTGCCAACATTCAGCTGCTCTGTGGCCTGTCTTGCCACACGCAAAGCAAGGTCCTTTTGACTTGCCTTTGCCCTTGTCTTGGCTCTTGCCGCTTTCTTTTCCTTTGCCCTTCTGGTCAGAAGAGCCTTTGCCTTTGCCCTTGCTCTTTCCTTTGTCACCCTTGCCTTTGGGTGAGCCTTTCTTGCCTTTGCCCTTGTCTTTGCCCTTTCCTTCGCGGTCGCCTTTGATGCGATCCACCTCCATTGGCGCAATCTGGTTGCGCTCGAGGATCTTGGCGCTTGACCAGGCAGCCGTAGATAGCTCGTAGGCCACCATCGATTCTCTCACCTGCGCATACCGAGTGCCAGGCTTCACATTCAGCTGCACATGCTGTCGCAGCTGCCCTGGGCAACAGCGCATGACCGTTGCTATCTTCAAATTCTCATCCAAGGGGCTTCCTGATTCCTGCCAGCCGCTCGTACTCACCGACCAGCTTCTCATACTTCATGATCCCTGTACCCTTCTCGAACTGCGGAAAGGCAACCAATGCCTGGATGATTCCCAGCTCTCCTTGCCTTGTCTTGGGCTGGAACTCCCGACAAAGCCCTTGCCAGGCTCGAAAGCCATCAGTATCCGTGACACTCCGGACGATCGGAAGGGGTCGCCCCTTCACGAAGCTCACCAAGTAGGCGTACAGCTTCTTTGCTCCCTTCTGAACATCCTCCTCTTGCTCCAAGTCCTTCTCCACGTGCTCCAGGTCGTTCATGAACTCCTCCTCAACGAAGGCCAAGTAGCTCTTGAAGAGGAATGACCATGTGGGTTGCTCTTCATCCACCGTGCCTGGAGACCACACATCGGGCTTTACCAAGGTGCGAGGATCGGCTCTGCTGCCGTCCTTCTCCTTTTCCTTTTCTCCAAGCTTCTGGAGTGTTTGGGCGCACACTCTTGTGAACCCGTCGAGCTCTGTCACCACTTGCTCCATTGCAGCCATGGGGCGTCAGCCCCCCTTCTTCCAGTGAACTTGCCTTCGAGGAAGCCACTGGCACTGATTGCGTCCGCTGCTCAGCTGCTCAGCTGCTCGGCTGCTCAGCTGCTGCCGCCACCAAATGGCGTTGCGAGGATCTGGCCCTGTCGCCTTGGAGCTCACCTGAGACTAGCGGAATCAGGATCACGGCTCCGCTACCATCTAACAGAGCGGGCTCTTTTCACTTGAGAAGTCGGGGCCATGTACAGGCACTTGTGAGTTGCACTCTTCATGTGTTTCACATGGAGTCTATTTGGGTGTGATGCACTTCTTTCCACAGCGCTACAAGATTTAAACCGGATGTTGGAACAGGGAAACAAAAAGAATAGCCACAGGCAAGAGTCAGAAACCGCCCGCAAGGGAGGGAAAGACTCTGCTATGACGCGAACACGAAGAGCATCACTGCAAGGCTCGCCTCCGACAACCGCTCAGAGCCCGTGGGCACATCTGCCAATTGGCTCTTCCATTGGCTCCTCAGGACGCACGCTACTTTGAAGACACACCAGCTGCTTGACGGTTCTGTTGAAGTCTGCAAAAGTATAGAATTACACCCCAAATCGCGGGCGCATAAGTGTATGGGGACAAAACTCCCTACGCCAGCAGAGACGCCAGATAGCAAAAAGACTTTTGCGGCAGCTCCAGCAGCGCACGGCAAAGGCACACTGCTGCGGCAAGGTGGCGGCACCCTGCAGCGGCTGCAGCGCCCAAGCTCCCAAAGGCACACAGCAGCGGCGCGGCACCAGCACCCAAGCTCCCAAGCGCACACAGCAGTTGCACCCTGCAGCGGCACCAGTACCCCAGCTCCCAAGCACACCCTGCAGCGGCACCAGCGGCGCCCTGCGCCCAAGCTGCCAAGCACACGCACAGCTCTACACTGGATCAGCACTGGCACCCCGCCGCAGAGCGCACACACGCAGCTCTTCCTGTACTTGAAGCGAGAACCCCTATAGCGCACGCTAACTGGAGAATAGTGCCTGAGGAAAAGAATCCGTGGCGTGACACCATCCCTGGCATGACATTATTTCATGCCTGGCATGATGTCGTCCCTGTCATGACACTATGTCACCAGCACCAGCACCTGCACCAGCACGCTCACACAAAACGCCGATCCAGCAGCAGCAGCGGCGGCGGCGGCGGCAGCAGCAGACCACCACCACCGCCACCACCACCACCACCACCACCTGTGAAAGTTTTCGGTCCGTTGGAATTGTCCCTTCTTGTTTTCGAACTCCAGGTTGAGCATGTGTTTCGAAACACGCACAAATCCTAGAAGTGTACTGCAGTACAAGCTAAATGCCATAGGCTGCAACCACCATGGTTGTTTTTGGCCGAAGCGTTCGCGCACTCGACGCCAGATCGAGAAGTGTACGTTCGAAGAGACCAGCCACGTGGATTGACGAGCGCGTGAAAAGGTACGCGCTCTCTTCAGGGCGAGGGTCAGCGTTTCGGCTAATCGCAGCCGAGGGGTTCGCGTCATTTTGAGGTGGAGTTCAAGAAGCGTGAAGCGTTCATGTCCTTTTTGCTTACTCTTTTGGGTTTTGTTCTTGGAGTAGAAACTTCATACGGTAGCGAAGCATCCGTAGAGATTGAGAGCCATGGCCGACCAATCCGGAACTGCTCAAAGAGAAAGATCCAGAGGGCGTTCAGCGCCACGAAGCCGCACGGGAGTGGAATCGCAGGGTTGGATATGCGTAGAATAGAAAGGCTAGAAGCTCAAGTGACACAGGTTTCGGATTCGCTTTTAGCTCTTGGGCCGACTTTGCAGCAGATCATCCAATTGAGTTCAACTGCTGCTGCATCGAGTAGTGTTCCCCGGCTGCGGTTCCAGCTGTCCAGGCGCCTTTCCCACCTTTGAATGTGACGCCAGCACCAGACCCCGTCGTCCAACAACCTAGTCAGGCAATGTATCCCGAAGCAGGTAATCCGATGAATGCACAATAAGTGGATCCACTGCAGGTAACAGATACGCGGCGCAATTTCAATTCGCCATCTCGAGAGGCTGGCATCCCAGAGCGACCATTTCCATCGAGCCTGCCACCCTCACCGGATCGCCAGAACCGTTCGCATCAGCTTCACCCCTTCAGATGAACTCGAGTGGATGGATTCCCCCACCACCAGGTATGCCTCCCCTCCAATCCACTGTAGGGCCTCGCGCAATCCCGATCAACACACCTCAAGGGTCAGTTCATGAGTCGGGTGAGGATAACCCCTTTAAAAGTTCTGAACGCTGGACGCCATCAACGCCAACGCCCGCATTCGATGAATGGAAGAGTAGACCACACGGGCTTCCTGCCGGGGCGACATCGCTTGCCAGCTGGACTGGATTAGGATCGAATGCTTATCCGGAGAAATCATGAGTTGCATCATAAGGAGGTCGAACCATTGGGGTGGCATCGTTTGCAACCGAGCCAAGTGACAGGGTCAGTACGCCTCTTGTCCATATAGACACGCTTCATGAATCATGCCCACGCCAGCTTGGTCATCCGAAACTATGAGGAGTCCAAAGCGTATCATCGACGTTGTGGGTTCGAGTGTTTGGGACTGATTGCAAGAGAGTTTTCTGCGTAAACATGAACCGAGTTGCTGTTCTTTCCAACTTAGCTAGCGGATAGCACGATTTCAGCACCAACCATCCCGGAAATTATTCACAAGATTCAGTCAGAATCAGAATTGTTTCAACTCGCAACTCGTCGATCCAAGTGTCAATGTCAAAGGCCTCGAATTCGTTGAAGCAGACAAGGTCCTTGTACTTCTCAGAGCCCTCCCTCAGCAGTGTCGCCAATGGGTTGTTCTCAATGCCCCGGACGAATCCTTCAACACCTACGTCGAAAGCGCCCTCAGGTATGAAGCTCAGTAACAGAGAATTTGGTTGGACTTGAACGGAAAGCTCATTGCAAGCCTGGGTGGAGTCGACGGAAAGGGCGAGAATCAACAGAGCAAAGGAAAGGGTACAGGATCAGAAACCCGCACGCCGCACATGTTTCCACTGCAACGAAAGATGTCACTTAGCTGTCGATTGTCCACAACGATCCAAAAGCAAAGGCAGTGCAGATAAGAGTGCAAAAGGTGAAGGGAAGAGCAAAGGAAAGGAGAAAGGAAAGAAGGGTGACAAAAAGGTGCAAAAGGCTAGGACAAAGGCAAACGCGCAACAGAGTTTTCGCAGCAACCCGGATCGGAAGCCGGTTGGGAGTGGTCTGAGCCTTACATCGAGGATGGCGGACGCCTTTCAGTGTGTTTCGAGCCCACCTTGCCAGTTGATCCTTTCTTCACGCGCCAAAGTCTTGATGAGCATGACCTTTGGCCTGTCGACTCCAGAGCCTCTTGCACCGTCGTTTCTGCACGCGCTTTGAAAGTGTATCGTGTAGAGAGAGAGAGAGATGATCACACCAATCCAATTTTGCACTGCGTCCGGTGAACCAGTGGCTATTGGGAGAGAGTGTATGCTTGAAGTGTTTTTCCCAACCCTGATCGAACAGGAAGACGGTGAGACAACAAAGATAGTTCGTTATGAAATTTGCGCCATGATCGGTCCCGTAGAGCACAACCTCCTGAGTGTTCATGGTTTGACTCGCGCGGGTGCCACGTTTTCGTTCGGACCTGATCGATGCACGATTCACATCACCGACACCAGGAGGATGGATTGCGAGATTTGAGACAAAAATGTCCCTTGTGCCCGCGCTCACAGAAAACGTTGTGGAGATTTAAGGGGACATCGAAATCGCACAGGCTCAGATTTTGGAGTCACAGTCTTGGTCAGACAACAGTCCGTCGAGTCAAGGGTCAAAGAGTCCATCAAAGGGATTGTCATTCGCGCCATCGAAAGAAGCGACGTATCGGCCATTGAGTTCGCGCATTGTTCAAATATGAGTCACGCTAAAGCGCTATGAACAGCTTACCAAGAAAGCTGAGTCTGAGACTGAGCTGAGTTTGCATCGTCGTCGGGGTCATTTGCCACTTGACGGTCGTTGCACTCTCATTGCCAACGAAGCCGATCGATTATCCGACATGCAAGGGTCACAGATCGTAACCATTCCCCTCAGGACCATAAGATTCTTCTCGTCCAAGCCGATTTCAACGACATAGAAGATCATAAGTTCCTGATCTTGCGCGATTCGGGTACAAAGACTTTTGGGGGATTGCAGGGAACGATACGAACCCAGACCGCACCATTGCAGATTGCAAGCACTTTTTCGTCAGCTGTGACTGAAACGAGCGCTTTCACGGTTGAGGTCCTGGTTGATAGTGAGCCCGCCTAGGTTCTTTGCTTCATCGGACAGGCCTACCATGTCAGATCAAGGCTGCCTCTACGAAACAGTCGGGCTTGCAGAGCACAATGTGAGACGCTTCCTGGATATGATTTCAGCGTTCGTAGTGACAGAGGCTCAATGGGTACGATTTGATGCCTTGGCCTATGTTGCACAAACACAATCATTTCGGTCTCGGGTCACACACTGGTCGTGCAGAAGGGTTGGCATCTCGCAGGACGCCCATGGAGCTTGTGGCGCAGAAAGAACGACCGAGTCCGGCTTGCTCAATGTTTGCCGGTGTGGTTCACGCAAATGGCAAAGGTTCCTGATTCTTTGGCGGAGTCCGTACCCGAAGCAACTAGGTTTGTTCCCGCTGCATGCGTGCATCTCCGTCCTAAAGTCTTGCGCACATGGTATCATCCAGGATTTGGAGATCACGCGCGCGTATTCCAAGCCGAAGTCAAGCCTCTCAGTCAGATCGTATGGGACGTTTCGTTGGCCCCTGACCTGATTAAGGAAGTCAACCATGATCGGCCTTCGGAACGACAACAGCACGATGATCCCATTCGCGCACAAGACCATGAGGTTGGCGTCAAAGAGGGACTTCCCATCCATGGCCCTCCCAGGGCTTGGATCAAAGATCACGGACCAACGCCGAACTGTTCAGCATGTGAATCATGGAGTCGTCATGGTAAGAAGCATAGCGCTGCACGCTGTAGGAGATACCGTGATTGGGTTGAGTGTGAACGCAAGAAGACGGCCGAGTCTATTCCGACAGAGTCAAGTGTTGAAGGTCCATCCAAAGAGTTGTCTAAGCCATCAAGCGGCGAACCACATCCCAGTGGCGGTCGTGTGAGATTCACGGGTAAGCAACCGCCCATTAGTGATGCATTGTCGGCAGGTTTCATGGAAGTGAGTGCATCTGAGCCCAGCGATCCGAGCAGGACGTTGGATCACATTCCCACTGGTGATTTCGAGTTAGGTGATGATCAAGAGCACACACCTTCAGAACATGAAGGTGATGTTCCACTGGATGACCGGGAAGATCCTACGTCCTTGCCGATGGACTTGACGCTTGATGCATCGGCTTTCGCGTTCGCCAGATCAGTTGATCCATTGCAATCTGACCAGTGGTGTCGTTGCGCCGTTGCACATTCCCACCAAAGATTCGGGTCCGCTAACTTCTCAAAGTTCGTGTTTTGTGGCAGCACTGTACATCTGATTGATCCAATCTCAGGTCTTTCCGAAGATGGTTTGACCTGGTTTGCCCCCGAACTTGTGAAGACTGGCGGCATGACTGAACTCAAAGCTATGGATCAATAAGTTAAATTCGCGCTAACCAGCTGTCAATTTAAGAGAATCAGCTGTCTATTTTGGAGGCTCAAACACATCACAGTAAACCTTGCAAAGGTTGCAAGAACAAAGCAAGTGATGGTTGTAAAGGATCCAGCCAGCAAAAAAAGGTAAGGGTATCACTCCAAGCTCTGATATATATATATATTATATATATATAGTTTTTAGATCCTCATAGTCGCTTCATGTTGTTTTGATTTATATTGAACAAAAGACGGGGAGTAGACCCAAGGACTGCAAGAAAAGGAAAGAGTGAGGAGGTCTGAAGGCAACGGGACCATCCGTTTTTTGAGGAAATACATGGATGTAACTACTATGCGCATCCTGATCAAGGGGGATTATTCGTTTTCGAACGCTTGTTGTAAGCCTTTCATGCGTCTCATTGGAACATAAACTCAATACACAAGGTGGAGTCTAAAGTAGAAAAATGTGTGCCTTTCACATTTCTCAGTATTTTTGTTCAACCGATTATGATAAAGGCTGCTAGCCCAGACTCCCTACAAAGTGGCCACATGCAGACATAGCACTTTTCTCGCAACCACCCACTGGCTCTTGTGAGTGAAACCACACAAGCTTGCGACACGGTGAGCATAAAATGCGCTCATCCATCGTGTTCTGCTAGCTGTCCGTTCCCCAAGAAGTACTATCATACAAGGCCAGCTGGCTGGCTTTGTAACAAACAAACCCCAAGTTGCACAATCCTCAAAAGGCAACATCAAAAGGTAATCGTGTTGATCCATAAAACCTGCAAAGGCTCAAATTCAGTAGAAAAACTGAAAATGAGAGTAAACAAGTACTACAAATTGTAAGTTGCAGGGCGCGCAAGAGAGCAGGCCTTCAAGAAGGTGGACTCACAATAATCACTGGTGTATAGCCTCTAGCCATTGCCAAGAAAGCAGCTCGATGAACTTCTCCAAGCCTATAGACCCAAACCTCGGAATCATATTGGTCCGTTGGAGTCAAAGGTTCCTCCGTCACTTCTTCCACTTTGCAGCTCGCTTTTCTTGGGCACTGTTTCTTCTTTTTCAACCATGCTTTGTATTTTGTCATCCACCGTCCAAATCCGCAGGCGGCCATGGTGCCTACGAAACTCAATGTAGCCTTCCCTTGAACCATGAAAGACTCCATGTGGAATTCATTTGTGGAACCTAGTAGTTTCCTGATGATGTCCAAAATCAACATGTTTTCTCGGAGGACAAACACTATATTCTATACATGTCACATAGACCGTGATGCATTGTTCTCTCCAGAAAAATAGGCTGTCACCTTTTCCTTAACATTAACTTCCACGACCATGTGAACTTCATTATCTTGACTTCAAGCTCGCTGGGTTTTGCGCGCTCTCTTGAGCTCTTCACAAATCAGGAAACTAAACCAGGATCACAGGCACCTCAGGAAACAAACACAGCTGGTTATTGATTTAATGAAACTATGTCTGTGTGATACTTCGGGGTGCACTGCGAAGCCTCAGTTTTAAAGCCAGTCTGACCTTATGTCAGGACAGCGGTTGCCCTTTCTTTGCTTGGTGAAAAAATGTGGGGACTCCCATTCACTCTTGGTCTCCCAAGTTCCCAAATCGTGTTGTTCTTGCTTGAACATGCCTCATTGTTTTACACAGCGGTTTGCCATAAGGTGATGCCACAGAGCGATGCAATCAAAGCCCCATTCATCAAATAGCAACATATCCTTGGTTCAACTTGACAACAAGCACTTTATATTTCTATACAAGAAACCTTGCCTCCTATGTTTTAGCATTCTCAACCACACGTGAACAAAAGCAACAACTCTACTGGCCAAGTCACATATTTTCCTCACATATGTGTATTTATAGTCATGTTGTTTGCCTTCAACAACAAGGCGCGGAGGGTGCTGCAGATCAAATCTATCATAGTTCATAACTCCTGCCAGATTTGCAACAATGAAAACACATGTGTGCAGATTTGCAACACAAAAGACACAAAAATATCAGAACAAACAGATGTCCTTGAGCTTCTGCAGGGCGTTAACACAGTGGAAGTTGGTCTTGCCAGAAATCCTCTCGGAACCCAATCATGGTTTTCATCCAATGCCAACTGGAACAAACACATCAAAGCACTGCTGTGACCATTGTTCAGCGCAAGTGTGCCGAACAAGGGAGTTAATGAGAGAAAACAACTGCGCGGATTTGCGGATGTGTGTTGCTTAGCTGTGCCGGGATTCCTCGAAGTATGGATTACAGCTGTGGGATTACTCGAAGTATGCATTTATCCTAGAGCCTCATAACCACCTTCATGTTTCTTTGGTTCATGTTGCGCAAAAAGAAAAGGACGGGGAGCAGACCCGAGAAAAGAGAAGAGTGAGGGTTCATATATATATACAAACATATACATGGACGTTGTGTGGGTGTTGTGTATGTACATCATGTCTTTACAGCTTTGACATCGGCTCATTCACATTGACATAGTGACACGCCTCTTTTCTCGCTAGCCGCTAGATGACAAGATTCAGCGGAGTTGAAACGTGATAAACTCCTTTCTTTGCTCTAGGATTGAAAAGGCCTGGATCACCACTCTCCATTTCTCAGATGTGGTGTCCACATAGTCGGAACTCGCCAGAAAGATGAGTTCTTCACGGTAGATCACACGGTTGTCGCCAATTTTTTCAACGTTGGCTGTTGGCTGTGCAGTACCACTTCAAAAGTTCAACAAGGTGGCAGTCGTCTTCGTCGAGGGGATGGAATTCACTGGAGAGCTCACCAATCCCGATAGAATACGCATATTTCTCCACAGGAAAAAGACCCGCTGGCCAATCGACTCCTGAGTCACAAAATCACTTGAGACTGTTCGACCTTTCATAGAGGCCAACAGGAATAAGACCCGCTGGCCAATCGACTCCTGAGTCACAAAATCACTTGAGACTGTTCGACCTTTCATAGAGGCCATAAAGGTGTTTGACTGGGTGCGCAGGCAAGTGTCCCATCACATCTTTGAACTTCTTCGCATTCACATGTGCCATGCTCTATTTGACTTGGCCACAGCTGCTTTGATCACGGGTTTGATCTCATTCCAAACTGCTTTGAAAGACAACAACTCCAAAACTGCAAACAGTGTTTAATATGCTTTCCAAACAACCAAGCTCGCCTGTTTCTTTTCCGAACCCTTTGTGCTTGTGCTGCCCCATGAAACTGCTGCCACGTTGTGTCAAACGTGTTCAACCCCCTAAAATGTGATCCCTCTAAATTTGCATTCCGGATTTTCCGGCCATCAAGATAGCCCGCTCTTCGGACTCCATCCAAGCCTGATGAGCATCTTTGATAGGCTTGTCAGGATTGTTTGTCTTGTAGCGTCTCACCTCAGCTGTGATCTTTGACAAATGAATCAATGAAGCAGTAAATGCATCAACAAATGAGCAAATGCATCAACAATTGAATCAATAATCAGCAACTGAGGCACAAATGCCCAACGAGCATTGTGACATGCTGACATGGTTTTCTTCTGCGTCTCCTCCTCCTCGCTCTGTCCTTCTTGGACTTTTTGGCATCTTTCTCTTCACCACGCCTTACCTGAATGAAATTGCATCAGGAAAACCAGGGAAAATAAAGAAACATGAACAACACCCCCAGACAGAAGGACAGTAAACAACTTATTCAATGAGAAGCTGCGCCAGCCGACTCATATTGCTTATGCCAATCTCGGGAATTCTATCTCTTTCGTTCACGCCTTTCCTCAACGATTGCTCGTTTTGTCCCAGGAGACATGTTGTCAGTAATCACGACACGCTTCCTCTTCTGCTCCTTTCAAACAATTGAATCACGATGCACGCAACGACTTAGTTAATTATACCAGAGTTACTGTTTCAATTGAAAAAACAGTCCTCAGTTTCGGGTGCTGTTGACTGCGCAGAATCGGGCGCTGGCTCCGCAGGTTGCTGCTCATCTGCAGGCTCAGGTAGCCCAGGTTGCTTGTCAGGTTGCTGATCACCGTCCGGATCCTCGACTTCAGCCATTGATGGCACGTGGTCCTGGTTTGAACTAGCCGAAGCCACTCCAGCTGCAGGCGACCAGACCTCAATCTTGTTTTGGAGCTTCAAAAGAAAACTGGGCAAACAAAGAAGCAAGTAAAGAAGATTGGAACAAACTTTCTGGCGCACATCAAAGACACTTGAGTGTCCTGTGAATCGTTGGAAAAAGACAATAACTTTCTTGGAGATGGTGTTCCAAATGCCTCTGGGGGCAAAGTATGCTTGGCCAGTGTTTGGTGAGACTTTGCGCGCTCGGCGTCGAAGATTCACCACTGACCTCATTGGACGGGCAACAGGAAGTGGACCCTCCTCAGACGGGATGATCTTCAGGGAACCCTCCACCATCATAGTCCCTTGAGGTGAGCCATGGGCGGTGTCCAAAGGTGTCATCAGGGAATCTCCTGCCATCATAGTCGCTTCAGGTGAGCCATGTTGTGATTCTTGGGTATCACCACCAAGCCCCGAAGAAGTTGATTCCACTGGAGCAGCCTGTGCACAAGCGCAGCTACAAAAAACTCAAACAGGTTCAAACATTGACGCACAGACCTGAGGCATTATGTCTAAGTCTAGGCGCCGTGTGTAGAGTCTTCTCAATCTCCGCACTCCACTGGAAACGTGGCAAGCTTTGAAGGCGAGGTCTCTGGACAACACCCGCCACCACAGCATCAGAGGAAGATTTCCTTTCGCCTTGCACTGCCTTTGCCAAAAGAGCAGTAAATGCAGTAGGTGGCTGAGACATGATGGGCAAGAGTGGCAAACCGAAAATCAGGATCGTGTTGAACCAATCTCCAGAACAAAATAGTTACTGATCTGCAAGGCATCAAACTTGCACAATGTTCAATTTTCATGGTTCTGCGTGAGAACAACTTTTTCTCCCTTGTCAGGTCCGGATGCGCGACAGGGAACATACATTCATGGCGAACGCCTTCATGGCACAAGCGTCACAGCGACGCGCTGTGGACAAAAGCTTGAAGTGCTTCCCCCAAACAATCACAATCACGCGATTCTTCCCTCTTCCCCTCTCAGCAAACCTTGTAATATGTCTTTGCCTCCAGGACAAACCCATCAGACTTGATGTACCAAAGAGGCTTGGCAGGGCCGATAACTTTCTCCCGTGTGTAGTATCTCATCCCTGGGTTGCAACAACTGAAAATATATAAGTGAAAAAAGGTCATGTCAGGAAAAGTGTGAACAAGCAGCGCAAGTTATACAGCAATCGAGCGCCGATCAACCCAGCCACATTGGAGCCTTTTGCTTGCTTCTGTGGTACAGAATTTGGTTTGAACAGGCTGTGGTCCTTGCGCGTGATGTCGAGCCTGGAAATGGTCCGCACATGAACATGTTGAACACTCATTTGATGTCAGGTCACAATTTGCAACCACATGCCTGTCCCCTTCTTCTCCACGCTGCACAGCTGGTGGTCGTTCACAAGTATGTGCTGTCAGGCGCATATCCAAATACCCCTGCTTTTCTAAAAGCAGCCACAGTGCATACATCGACATTGGGCTTGTATCCACAGGTCCGCCCTGGTTGGATTCTTCCAGTACAACCTTGGACATAACAACATGCAAAACGGAGACCCGACACTGAACACCATGATGCTACCAGGGCACCTTTTGGTCTTGATTGGAGATGAGGAACTCGATGCACTTGTTTTCATTTGCTGATTCCTGGCCTGCACAAATTTGGAATTAGTTCAACTGACTGCCAAAAATTGCAAAACACAAGTTGTTCACTCGAATGTTGTTCACTGGAATTTTGACTGTTGTTCATTCCAAGCCTTTGCCGGATCGCTGATCCATGTCCCGCCGGCATAGGCGAATAGCGGCCTTGCACCATCTGAGTCAACTCCAGGGACACGCACTTTGGTGGGCGATGAGATGTAGACTGCTCCATCAACCACATGGATCGTGATTGCGCTACCCATATTCACACTGACAGTGGCCACTGATGTAGGATACTTCACCTTGAAATCATCTTCCGACATGGAGGCAGGGTTGAGATCCTCAGCCGCTGCTGGTGTAGTAGTGCTCTGCCCCAAATCCACCTCTGCTGCAGCTGCTGCTGGGGTCGGAGCTGCTGCTTGAGGATCCGATGATGGCTGAAGCCCGGCGTCAAAGTTCCGCAGCCGCACTCGCCAATCCGGATCTGAGTTGTGAACAGATGGTCAGGAACGCGCTCACGGAATAAGACAACTTGAATCCTACTTTCGTATCAAAATTACATATCCAAATTCTTGAAATTTGACCAAAGCACTTCTCACTGGGTCAGACAACCACTTCTCTCTTATATCTTTGGGAATCATCAAATGCCCATTCGGCATCAATGAGCAGAGCTTCAGGGGAGGAGCCTTTGGCAGTGAGACGTCTGAGACCTCCGCGTCTTGTTCAAAATTGGGCCGCGCCGAGGCCATGTTCCTCCTGGCCACATGAGTTTTTTCAAACTTCACAGAGTTTCTTTTTTCAAACTTCACAGGTCATGGTTTTCAAATGAACAGTCCTCAACCAGCCTATCCTTCACCTGCTGCGCTGCAAACTGCTGGATGGTGGGGGACGTTGTGTCACTGTGCGTCGCGATGAAGGTATCTTGCTGCAAATCGTTCATCAGTTGCAGGACCACCTACAGGCGCATATCCAAACAAACATGAAGAAACAATGAGACGCATTCAACACCAAATTGAAAAGAACACAAGACAAAATGAGAATGCAGCACACCTTCTCGAAGACACCATCGTACATCGTCTTGTGATGCACCATGAGCACAGATCGCTTTACTGAAGAGACTCTTGACAAGCAGGGTTGCAGCCGATGCCACCCACTGTGCAGTTTCTTCTTTGTCCTGAGACAGGAAAACTTAGTGTCACTCAGTCACTCAACAATCAATCCTCATGAGTCTAGTATGCTGCAGACGAGAATCAGTGAGCGATCTGCCATTTTCATGGGACAAAAACACACCAGACCCGGGCGTGATGTAGTCCCCTTATGTAATCACCAAAGAGTAGCATGATATTCCTCACACACACACAGACTCACGCGT